TATTTAGTTGCTATACTATTTCTAAATATAACACTACTGAGGAAACTGATGAACAAAGAGTAAAGTAAATGAAACCCTAGAATTTAAAAAACAAATAAACCAAAATTTATGGTAGTGAGGATAGGGATGAACAGGCAAGTTCTCAAAATTCTCAGGAATATATATATATTATGACCTTTTCATTCTGGAAGTTGATTTGGTCTTTACAGCAAACACCTTAAGATTCTGTGTGCACCTAATTCACCTAATATATCTACTTCTGCAGTAACAGGAAATAATTAGATGAAAGTACACAATGGCATATATAGGGGTGGTCATTGCAGAATTGTTTTGCACATCAAAAAAGTAGAAATCATTCCCCAGGGAATATTCTTAAAGACTGTTAAATGAGGCCACCAACATGGTGGTGCATATCTGTAATCCCAGTGACAAGGGTGGCTGAAGTGGGAGGATTGTGAGCCCAAACCCAGCCTCAGCAACTTACCAAGGCCCTAAACAATGAGACCATGCTGCTAATAAAATATAAAAAAGGCCTGGGATATGGCTCAGTTGTTAATAAGTGCCCTGGGTTCAATCCCTGGTACCAAAAAAAAAGTGTTAAATGTTTCTTAGAATATTCCAGTAGAATTCAAATAAGAAGCCAAAAGGAATATTATAATTATGCACAAAAAGAAACAGAAGATGTTAAGTTTATAAACAGAAAGAAAATAAAAAATGTCAACTATCCTAATACTTACTTTATTTGTACCTTGAAAATTTTAAGTCTTATAGCTTATATTCAAAATTATACAATTATATAAACTGAATATAGAGATAAATCTGAATTCATTATGGAGACACATTTTTCTTAGAATATGATAACAAGGCATTTTATGAATGGTACATTTAAAACATACCCTTTTATTTATAACAAATCCAATTGAAAAAAGCTATAGAAGGAAATCTTAAGAAAATAGAGACAAAAAGCACAAATTTACCAAGACAGAATTTAATTTCAATAAAATCCATCTTTTTCATCTTTCATATGCTCACAAGTTTTTCATACAAAGGCTCATCCCTCTTTCCCCAATAAAGTGTATATAGGAAGAAAGGAAGAAGTAGTATGTATACACATAATAGGCATGAAACTGTGAGATGGATACTTTTCCTTTATGGAAGAGACAAGCATTTTTTAAACTTTTTGGTCAATAACAGTTCCTAAGTCAGTTGGTGAACTTTTAAACATAACATTTCATTTTTTAGAGCTTCATAAATCACTTCTCCCACTTGCCCTGTTATGGTTACTGCATAATCCATGCATTCTTCATGGATCAGCCATCTTGGGATGAAGGGTGTTCTTGCTCAGCAGCTGGCTAGCTTAGACACAGCTTGAGCCTTCTGGAGGTAGAGGGACTCTTTAACAATTATTTTAAAGAACTATATACTTTTAGTTTGTCTTAGAAAAACCCATTTGTATAATCTCACTCATCTATGGTTCTACAAATGGATGAAGGATCCAAAGCATTGCACTAATGCTTTGGATATGAGAAAATAGATATTTTTTCTAAAGATTTCCAATTTTTAAATTCCAATGCCTTCCTCTTAGGTTCCTTAAAGAATTAGCTGAAGTCATCACAAGCTACTAACAATTATTTTCAAGACCTGAAGAGACTGGCCAGATGCCAATGGGCTAGGTTTTAAGTGCTTATAACCACAGGAGGGAAAATAACAATGTTAGAAGCTATAGATTTATAACATCGAGTACATAACTCAGAAAATATCAATATATATTTCAAAGAAATATATTTGTAGTCATTTTGATCATGGATAAGAAAAAAACCAAAAGCCAGAAAACAATCTAAAACACTTTAAAATAAACAATTTTTTAACAGACAGCAATTATTTCTAAGTTTTCGCATTTCCACATGAGATACTAACATTTTAGTGATGCGTAGCTTATAAAATATTTTGCAAATCACTTTTATAGTTTTACTATAAAAGTATGAATTAAGATGAGAATTTTAAAGATGAGAAAACTAAGAGAAATTAGCAAAGTTATCTAAGGCAAGTAACATTGGTAGGTCTTGAACCTAGGTTTTTTATTTTAAGGCTGGTTTTCTGGATTTCAGATCACTCTGAGTCAGATTCATAACAAATGGATCAGTTTTTTTAATTATTTTTTTATTTATATTTAATAGTGGGATGCATTACAAGTCTTATTATACATATAGAGCACAAGTTTTCATCTCTCTGGTTGTATACATAGTATATTCACATCAATTCGTGTCTTTATTCGTGTACTTTGGATAATAATGTCCATCACATTCCACCATCATTTCTAACCAAATGTATACTTATTGATTGATGCAATATCTTTTCTTCATGTACTCCCAGAGTTAGGGAATGAAGGCATAATTAATCTTTTCTTTCTCTTTCCTCCCAATGGGAAATGCAAACATGATTACTTCCTGATACCCAACTGTTCTTGCTTTAAGGTAAGCACTCAACACATACCATTTTGTTTGGAATGCAGCAGATCATTATTATAAATCTAAAAAATAAACTCCAGTCTAGACCTGAAGATTCTATTAACAACATGATGTATCAAAATCATCTACAGGCATTATTATGAACTGTCACCTAAAATGTCAGGAAATGTAGGTCCAGCGATAGCAAATCATTAGAGCCATGTGGTTAGTGTTTAAGCAAAAATTTTTATCAGGGAGGAGAAATTTGGTACATTGTCCGGTGCTATGTCTTTTCTGAGACTTCTTACACATAAAGGAACAAACCGACTACACTGAGGAAATGGAAAACAGTGTGTAATGAATCAATAAAGTTATCTGTGGTTGCATAACACTAGGGCAGACAATAGGTTTGCGACTAAGTTAAAAATGAAATATAAGGTAAAGCTGCATTTAATTTTAATGTTTTGTTTTTGTGGTTATCAAATTATATCCTTGTGTTCTTTGAATACCACAGAAATGATCTTACTTGCTTTAGAATAAGTAATGGTTAATGATCAGATAATGATCTCCAAGATTTTTCACATGGTTGATGCCTTCCTAACATGTATAATGGCACATACAAGACCTGGAAAGTCAACTGTCTCCTTATTCCTCATAAACAAGCCTAGACCACAAAGCAGGGATGTTTAACCCTTTTTGTATTTATGTAGGATAAATTTTATAAATCATTTCCAACATTTAAAATAACAATAGTTGTGTAGGTGCCAAGGAATATTTAATTTAATCAGTCCTACCTGCAGGGTAAGGTGGAAATCTAATGAGTCTGAGCTGTGAAGACAACTGTTCTTTATAATTATGAAATAATATTTATCTATTTTGCTTATTGGGTAGAGGAACCCAATTGTAACTTAACATAAATAAGCTACTTTAGTTTTCATGTTAATAGTATCCATAATACTACTAATAGTGATCTTATTGAAAGAATAAATGTACAATATGTGTGGAATTAATGCTCAAATTAACATTTGAATCAATTTTTTAATGTGTGAATTTCTCTTGAGCATTTATTATGTGGTTGGCAATAAGTGAAGTGTTTTATTTATATTATGGTTACTCTTCATTAATAAGCCTAAGTTTAAAAAATTGTATATGTTACATATTTATTCTTTATATTAACATTTTCCAGTTTGTCCCAAATCATTAGTTCTAAAGGACGTTCAATGAAAAATAGAAACCTGTGATCAAAACCAGATCACTGAAATTAAAGGAGGCCTAAATAAGTGGAGACATATACTAAATTTATAAATTAGAACCTCCATATTGTTAAGAAATCAATTCTCCCCAAATTTATTTCTAGATTCAACATAATCCCAATCAAAATCCTTAGAGGCTTTTCTGTAGAAATTAACAAGATGATTTTAAAATATGTATGGAAATACAAAGTCTAGAATAACCAAAACCATTTGAGAAAGAATGAAACTGGAGGACTTATCCTACCTGATTTCCTATACAGCTAGAATGCTATAGTAATCAACATGGCATCAGCCTAAAGTTAACCACGAAAGCAAATGAAACAAAGTACGATGAAATAAGGAAATAGTCTTTCCAAACAACTGTCTATACAATTGAGCAATTCCATTTCAGGCATTTTTCAAAGACAACACAAATATATGTCTACACAGAGACTTGTTAATGACTCTTCATAGCGACTTCATTCATAATATCTGTAAGCTGCAAATAATCCAAATGCTTACCAACTCCCGAAAGAATAAACACATTGTGTTATATATGCTTACTACCATTCAGTAATAAAAAGGAATTAATTATTGATACATGCAAAATCAAGATGAACCTAGAAACATTATGCTAAGTAAGAAAAATCAAATATAGAAGTTACAAGCTGTATGATTGTAAGACAGTCTGGAAAAGGCAAATTACATGGCCAGAAATCAAATTGGTATTTGTCAGGGCTGGGGATGGGAAAAAAAGAATGACTATAGAGAGGACTAAGGGAAGTTTTGAGGGTTATGACAATATTCTATATCTGGACTATTAGGGTGGTTTTACAAGCATAAACACTTGTCAAAACTCATAGAACTGCACATTTTAAAAGGGTAAATTTAAGTGTTGGTAATTGTACTTCGAAAGACCTATCTTGATGGGGAAAAATGTCTCAGGAATACTTAAGAACTTAAAGATTTTAATTCAGTTTTCTAATATTATTTGTCATTGAAATTTGCTACTTCTTTTATCATTTTATACAAGTGTCTACAATGGTTTTCTACATAAATTCCAAAATGTTAATCCAAAAGATGTTCAATGCTCCAGGACATGAAAATAGGAAATAAAAGCAATTAGTGATTATAAAAAGGAAAGATTTTTAAAGTAACTTTTGGGGATTGTATGCATAAGATGGAAAATAGTCCGTGTATGTTATTACTATCTAACAGAAAAGTGTTCCCAAATGAAAATGTTTTGCATTTAAGGAATGTCTATGATTGATTAGATTCTGTGAGAGCTATTGAAAATATGGTTAAAATTCACATTTCTTACCTTTGGGTTAGAAATAAGTGTAGGAGATAGACATACTTGTCATTGAAAATTCAGCTTGATGAATGTCAATGCTCAAAGTGTTAACACTGATGTGGATGCACTCAAGAAGGCCATAGGGTTCTCAGAGAGGAACAGGCAAAGAATGGCTCAAGGAAGAATTCCTAGAGGAATGGCCAAAATAGGTAATTTAGCACAGATTGACTTTAGGTAGGTATAGACTGTGGGGCAGGGGCAAGGACCTCTTCTGATTCTAGAGCAGAAGGAAAAACATGTACAACATAGGAGATATAATCTTTGAGAGAAAATTCAAGTGGTTCAGCACAATTAGAACCCCAAAATTTTGTGGATCTTTTAATCAGGGTAATAAAATCAGCTTTGGATTTTAGAAGGCAATTCTAGTTGCAATGGGGTGGTGTTTGGAGAGGTAAGACTAAAACAGAAACCTGTTAGGAGGCTTTTATGGTATTTGAGGAGGGAAGCTACTAGGGTATTAACTTGTGTAGTATTAATGGATTCAAAAAAAGGAAATATTGGATAAAAATATTTATAAGGTAGATGTGATACTAGTTGAACACTAAGAGGGAGCATAAGGGGTTGGTGTTACTCATCTTTCTCACACAATAACAAATACCTGAGAAAATAAACCTATATTGATTTATTGGTTTATTTTGGTCCACAATTTTGGGAGTTTCAGTCCAAGACTGGGAAGACCCATGGTTTTTGAACCAGGTGAAGCAGTACATCATGGTAGGAGAATGTGGTGGAGCTAACCCACTTACATGAGTCAGGGAACGAAAAGAGAAGAATGGTTCAGTCCCACATTCCCTTTAGGAGCACACACCCATGAACTAAGAACTTCCCAGACCCCACTTCTCAAAGATTATATTAATGCCCAATAACATCAAGCCTTTAACAGATGGACCTCTGTGGGACATTCTAGAGCCAAACTACAGCAAGGTTCTTCCTAGGTCTTGCTAAAAAAACAACTACTTGTGTTCCAGGTAATTATTTATTTATTAATTATGCAAATTACTAGTACAGTACCTGAAACAGTATTTGTACATTCATATTTCTTACAATTCTCTGCAATGCTTAAAAGGCAAGGAATTCTCAAAAACTGCTTGTTGCTTGTTTCTACACTTGTTGAATATCACACAAAGTGCAGAAAATTCAATATTTAATTTGTTCTTTTAAGATATACATGACAGTTGAGTGTATTTTGACATATTATACATACATAGAGTATAACTTATTCTAATTAAAATTCCAGTCTTGTGATTATACACGATGTAGAGTTTCAATGGTTGTGTACTCATATATAATCATAGGAAATTTATGTCAGATTAATTCTATTGTCTTTACTACTCTCACCCCCTCCCTTCCCTTCATTCCCTTTTGTCATTTCTTTCCAAAACCCTAAGAACCAAAATATATGAAAATTTTTATAACACTAAAAGTTCAGTATCTTTTACTTTTTAAATACTAAACTGTGTTATAAGTCTGAATATGGTTAATTATAAGAATGGATTTCTTTTAATATTATCAAAGTTTTTTAGGTCTAACATTTCTTTAAATCTCTCTCTCTCTCTCTCTCTTTTTTTTTTTGGTAAAAGGGATTGAACCCAGGGCAGCTTACCACTGAGCAACATCCCAACTCCCCCTCCCCCAACTCTGCCTTTTTTTAAATTTTGAGATAGGATCCTGCTAAGTTGCTTAGGGTCTCACTAAATTCCTGAAGCTGGCTTTGAACTTGTGATCCTCCTCTCAGTCCCCTAAGCCACTGGGATGTTTAAATCTTTAAGATAAACATTTTTATTTTCATTTCTCTTACAAAGAACTATGCTAATTTCTCATTGTTCTTTTTTTTCTCTGAAAAGGCATTTGCATGATTTGCATATACCTTGCAAAGTAACTCAGTAAATTTTCTACCTGCTTTTCACATTACCTTATCTTTCCCATTTTCCCCAAATTCCCATTCCTATTCTTCTCTCTCATTTTCAGTGAAATACCTCAACTCGCACTTCAACAAAATACATCCAGCCTAAACTCTCATTGTCCTTCTTTAAGCCTCCTGAAATACTGAAAACATTTTCCTTCATAGGAAGTTATTTCAATAGTTCTAGTGAAAGTGACTGATTTGGGTACACACTGGAGAGAAAAATATAAATCTTCCTGATACTGTAGTATAAAAATGGAATGTTGATCTGAGAGATGAGCTGGATTTACAACTTTGATTCAACTGCAGATGAGGAAAAATCTATTTTTTTTGAGCCATCAGAAAACCTATGAATAGATATGGGTATAACTGAGAAAAGAAAAAATAAATTAGCTACAATCTATCAAATTAAAAACAAGATGATGGTTACTTAAAACTTAGTTATGAGTTTTAAATAAAGAGTGTATCAGTGGGGTTGGGGTATAGCTCAGTTGTTGATCATGTGCTTGACATGCACCAGGCCTTGGATTTGATCCTTAGCACCACATTAAAATTAAAGAAAATGTGTCAACATATGTGACAGGGAGTGGAGGATTTGTAGGATGGGGAAGATTGAAGAATGAGAAAATGATCTTTAGGTGTAAAAGCTTTGAGGAAGAATCATTTCAAGAACAGTTCAGTGCTGGGCATGTAACTCACTGGTAGAGCACTTGCCTGGCATGCATGTGTATGGCTTCTGGATTTGATCCCCTGCTAAAAAATAAATAAATAAAAAATAAAAATCTAGCATGTTTCATGAGTAAGGGACTAGAACAAGAAGGATGCCCACTGAGGTTGGAGCAGAGGGAAAGAGGAGAGATTAACTGGCAATAAAGACCAGGAAGGTATTAGAGTAGCAGGATGCTATCATAGTACGACAGAAGCTATCAAAGGATCTTTAGTATAAAAATGATAATTTTTATCTTTTTAAAGGCCTACTTTTAAAAAAATTATTCTAATTTGTTATACACGATGGCAGAATACAATTAATTTCATATTACACATATAGAGTACAATTTTTCACATCATTGATTGTACACAAAATATTTTCACACCATTCCTAACTTCATACATGTACTTAGGATAATGATGTCTAAATCATTCCACCATCATTCCTACCCCTTACCCCTTCCCTTCCCCTCTGCCCTATCTAAAGTTCTTCCATTATTTCCATGCTATCCCTCTATCGCCATTATGAGTCATCTTGCTCATATCAAAGAAAACATTCAGCCTTTGTTTTTTTGGGATTGACTTACTACATTTAGCATTGTAGTCTCCAACTCCATCTACTTACCTGCAAATGCCATGATTTTATTCTCTTTTAATGTTGAATAATGTTCCATTGTGTATATATATATACACCAAAGTTTCCCTATCCATTCATCTATTGAAGGGCATCTGGGTTGGTTCCACAATTTGGCTATTGTGAATTATGCTACTATAAACATTGATATGGCTGTGTCCCTGTAGTATGCTGTTTTTAAGTCTTTTCGGTATAAACCAAGGAGTGGGATAGCTGGTTCAAATGGTGGTTCCATTCCAAGTTTTCCAAAGAATCTCCACACTGCTTTCCAGATTGGCTGCACCAATTTGCAATGTATAAGTGTGCCTTTTTCCTCACATCCTCGCCAACACTTATTGCTATTTGTATTCTTGATAGCTGCCATTCTGACTGGAGTGAGATGAAATAAATCTTAAAGAGTATCCGTTTTGCTTGCATTTCTTTAATTGCTAGAAATGTTGAATATTTTTTCATATGTTTGTCGATTGATTGTATATCCTCTTCTGAGAAGTGTCTGTTCAGTTCCTTGGCCCATTTATTGATTGGTTATTTGTTTTTTTTGGTATTAAGGTTTTTGAGTGCTTTATATATTCTAGATATTAGTGCTCTATCTGATGTGCGTGTCATAAGAATTTGATCCCATTCTGTAGGCTCTCTATTCACTTCACTGATTGTTTCTTTTGTTGAGAAGCAATTTTTTAATTTGAATCCATCCCCTTTATTGATTCTTGGTTTTAATTCTTGTGCTACAGGAGTCTTATTAAGGAAGTTGGGACCTAATCTTACATGATGGAGATTTGGGCCTACTTTTTCTTCCATTAGGCACAAAGTCTCTGGGTTAATTCCTAGGTCCTTGATCCACTTTGAGTTTTGTGCATGGTGAAAGATAGAAGTTTAATTTCATTTTGTTATATGTGGATTTCTAGTTTTCCCAACACCATTTGTTGAAGAGGCTATCTTTTCTCCAAAGTATGTTTTTGGCACCTTTGTCAAATATAGCTTTAGTTATGTGGGTTAGTCTCTTGCTCCCCCATGCACTCTCCACCATAATGTATTGCCTCACCACAGGCTTAAAAGTAACCATGGCAACCAATCATAGACTGAAGCCCCAAAACTGTGAGCCCAAATGAAATTTTTTTCTTGATGAACTGATTATCTAAAGCTGACAGTCATAATATCTTAGTTACACAGTAACTCCACCAAATTAATCCACTGGAATTTTTATAAAGAAAAAAGATATATTTTTGTTCACAATTTTTGAGGTTCTAGCCCATGATCAGTTGACCCCATTCCTTTGTGCTATGGTGAGGTATTACATTATGATGGGAGTGCATGGCAGAGAAAAGCCATTCATTTCATGGCCATGAAGCAAAAAAGGGAGAGAGGAAGGGACTGAAAGAGCCACAGTCCCCATCAAGGGCATATCACCAATGATTTGGAAGGCTTTCCACTAGGTCCCATCTCTTAAAGATTCCACTGCCTTCCAGCCTCCACATCCCTCCATGTCCTAGAAATCAAGCTTTTACACAGGGGCTGTTGGATAACACTTAAGATAAAAATGCTATCATCTGCCCCTACCTCTCCCCCCACAGGGCCTATTTCACAATACAAAATTAATTCAGTCCATCCCCAAGGGTCCCCAAAGCCTTAACTCTTTAAGTAAATTTCTTAAAACAGTCCAAAGTCTCCTCTAAGATTCAAGCTAAATGAAGAAGAGATGAGATGGGCTTTTTTCATAAACTGAACCAAGTAAGTTATCTTTCTGAATACTGTATTACCATATAGTTTATAATCAGACATTTCTCAGAGTCTTAGGAAGTAATTTTACAGTTTGGGCCAAATATAAAACTTCAGATGACTCCAAGTGGAGAACAGGGACTATAGTAAACCAAATTCTGTATTCT